ATGAAAATGAGAGTAATGTAGCTACTTCCCGCAATAATCGGTAAACGGTGAAACCGTGCAAGAGCACTGGAGAGCTAATTTTTTCTGCTAATACGTCTTGCCTGCCTATTGAACGAGTATGCAAATTGCAAGTTCTTTCTTTATTTAGCAAAGTCCGCTGTAGCATGTAACTCTTGACTATAAAAAGTCTCTTGATAGACCTGATTTTGCTCCGTTCAGCAGAACACTCTTGATGTTTTATTTATATTCTTCGGAGGTACGAGATTTAGCTTCTATCTGATTTTCAATAGATCCTTGAAAAACCGAAACGGTGTAAACTAGAATTTTTGCAGCATGCTGTCAGAAAAACCAACTGCTTGACCTTCCACCAGAAAGGTCAAATATGGGTAAGACGTATTTGCAATAGAGTACGAAATAATCAATCTAATGTGTTGTAAATGATGGTAGGCGGCTTTGGCGCAGAAATTCTCGAAAGAACAGAATTGAAAATGTTTTTGTTTGCGTCCTATTAGTCAAAAGGTTGATTGCACGCTTATGCGCTCAATTCCTCCATATTGTGCTCTTTGAATTCGACATTTTACTAACGAATAGCATTTTACTGTTGCTTTTATATGTTTGATGCATGTTAGTTCTAATGATCAGACTACATCACGCAATTAGTCACTTACTCATATTGGCAAACAATCTTTCAATGAGCAACTTTTGCAGCTTTTTTCTTTCTTTTTTGTTGCAATGGCGTAGAAATATCAGCTCTTGTAAATGATTGAAGCAGAGAACTTATTTTAAACTTTTGGGTTTTCTAAGTTCCTGTCAAAAGACTGTGACGATGTGAAACTACGATATGGACACAATGTTGCTCAAATAATTTGCTTTTGATTCGTCAACGACTGCTCTGGATATCTTTACTCTGCCAGAAATTCTTCGTATGTGAGCCTCTCACTCCTGTAAGATTACATCCGGTTTATCCCCAACTTTGCGAAAGAGCCATTCATATGATTGATAAATTTGAGTGATCTTTAACGCGTATCGCTAACCTGCTTCGATGATTTCTGCTTAATGCTTCCTCTTGCGTCAACTTGTCTGGCACTTTCTTTCGGTGCTGAAGCCACACGCGGTTCTCAGGTTTCAGAAGCCGCAGACAGGTTGGCACGTCATCGCAAAGAATACCACCGCACTCATCGCAATAATCCTTTTTTCCGCTCCTCTTAGCCTTAATAGCAATGCCCTTATGCATTTTCACAAGCACATGTATGAGCCGCAGTAGCTGCGAACAAGCTTGCTATATCCTCCTCTACTGCACTAAATATTGTATGCGCGATTAGGGGGTACTTGCCAGGCTTGAATCCCAATTGCCTCGAATATGGACTCGTATAGAACATAATCATTCTTGAAAGCACAGCACTTGATGTTTCCCACTCAATCCTCGCAACGACCATTTTAAACTAGACAGACAAAGAAGGAGAAGAGCTAAAGAATGATTCAAGACGTCGAAGTGTCTAGAGCCGAGAAGCAGCTGCCACACAAAACATGTGCCGCTCTGCGTTCGAATCGCTCTACCAGGATTGCACTTAGCTGCGTCTTCAAACCGATGTTTTGTACTGGATCTTTCCAATCTTTCCAGCCTTCTAAGGTCAAAATCAGCTTGTACCTTAGCAGTGACGACGCGTAACGTTTGCGCTCAATTGACCGTTTTTTCGCCGTCGTCGAGTCCGCGATTCGAACTGATAGAACGGCGCGATTTCGTCCCACTTTAAGCGACCACCGCACCCCTTCAAGTGAGTAGCAACATTCACAAAACCACCTTCAGCCGACATCCTTGCTCCGTCCGCTGTCGCCCTCCCCAGCGAAATTGTTTGGCTTTACTTCTGTCAGCGATTCCGATCGCTTTCCCCGAGTTCAACTGGATCTGTTGACATAGTCGTACTGCGCGTCGAGGCGCTTGCTTTGTATATGTGCGATCGCATCGCACTTCAAGGGCCCTAACTCGGATAATGATTGGCAATTTGCATCGATTAGAAATATATTCTGCATCAAACCACTTAGAAGTAAAAGAGCGCAACAATCACCTTCGAAATGGAGGCGTCTTATTTTTGCTATGCTTGGTACAGGTCGCAGCTCAGTTCACGCAGCCAACTTGGACTACGTAGAGCGCACAAAGCTATTATGGACCTTGATTTTGTATAATATGTAGAATTTATCCGGGCGTCAACGCGACATTATCGCAAATTGTGATGACTCACTTGCAAAAACTGGTCTAGAGCGTTAATTTCTGTTATGTTATGCTGTCAGTCTATGAATTATTCATCTCCGACAACTGCAATATGTCCCGCACTGATCCTCGGGCGTATCTTGGCCATGCGCTTGTTGTCTCATCAGTGAGAAAGCGGCTTATCTTTATCCGGCAAATCCTACCACGTTCCCCTTCGCCTGGATTAGCGCTGCAACATCGCTTAATTTTTATCGGTCCGCTTCATCTCCATGGTATCGCTGGCTAAGAAAGCAGCAACATCCTCTATTCTTTTAGCCCTGCCATGATTAGTGTCATACTACTCCCTTGCGGCCCTCGTTTACTTTCGTAAATTCGCATGCCCTTTTCTTTTTCTGCTGATGGCAAACCTTGTCGTACTCGAGATTCATGCTTCTGCGTTTCGTTTCGCCTCCTATTATCTTTCTCCGCCACAACATAACCTTCCTCTCCTAAGTACACATGTTTCTGTTGACAGAGCAGCACAAATTCAAACAAAATACTATGTGCAACTGTTCAAAGTCACTGGATAAGTATAAAGGTAGCGTAGCGGTTCAGACCTTTCAACCATTTGCTAGGCATCGCATCAGTCAAATGGTTAGAATTTCCATTATGCAAGTGCGTTGGCACAAAGCAAAGGAGCACATCACCCTGGGTCATCTGTAAGTCGTTAACATGCTGCTAAGTAAATGTACTACCTAGAATAGCTGCCATCCATTTGAAAAGAGAGATTATTCATTACGTGTTCTTGTAAGCCAACCTGTCTATATAGAAAATAAAAATCGCTGTCCTTAGCTTGACAGCCACGATTGATGTTAGCGAAACGGGTCAATCTGTGGAAGATACCTAGTAGGATCACACTATGGCTTTCCAAACCGATTTTCCACATAATCTCAATCGATACCCGCAGTACAGGTAAGTGTAAGCGCTTCTTTTCACGTCGCCCCTCCATTGTCGGACTCGCCAGTCATTCTTTTTCTGAAAGTTCTCAAGGCGCAATCACTTTCGAGCCATTGCAGAGTCTTTTGCGATGAATCTACAAATTTTGATACTTCGCTCGGATATCTGTCGTCACTCGTTTTTGCATCTCGAAATGATTGGTTTACGCTCAATTAGCGGACAGCAGGAAATCAGTTCTCTAATTCATTGCGAGATTTGTATCTGCGATTGGCCTGTCACTTACTTCCTCGGCTATCCCACCGACAGTGCGTTGACGCTAACAGGACCAGTTTGGGTCAGCGGTGAATACATGCCGTATCATTCGTACGCAACCGACTCTTCATTCATTCTCTCTCATTTCTTTGTATGCTATACCAATTGAACCGAACGAACGTTTGAGCCTTGAAGTGCACGCTATTTTTTGTTTTGTGTGCATTCGCTAGAGGTAACCTGAGTTTTGTAGTCAGATTTCTTCAGACCATAAGCTGCTTTAGACTAGAACAGCTACAGCTTTTTTTCTTGTTTTCTCTCCTCCCCGTCTCCATTCCCATTAATTGGCTATGTGTTCAACCTAATACTGCGGAGTGTTCCCTCTTGCGTGAAAGAGTCACGAACCGCGGCACAGTAATATATCGTTAGTTCATCGAGTATTAACTACGAATTGCACTGTTGTTTTTTATCGTCGCAGCCACCAACTTCAAGTCCTTATGCTATCCTCTAATTCTCGAAGCGGCCACTTGACAATCGCTATTGTGCGATCTTCGCTAATTCGTCGTGAAAAGCAAGCATTCAGTAGCTTCCGATGCACATAACCGACTTAAGTCACCTTTCCTCAACTGCGTTTGTTCTGGTTTACAATGGACGGCAATCAATTGAACTTGCCAGTCGGGGCCATGTTTGTTCAGACAGATGATACTTCGTGGACATACCACGTTTCTTGATTTGTTTATTGCTGTTTGTGTACTTTCCTACTTATTTTGGTTACAACTGTCAATTTTTCCGAGCTTTGTTTCGTAGCCTCAAATCAAAAGAACAGAGCACAAAGATCATTTGAACATGACTGTAACTTTGCGCATGTTGTTCATCTTTTCGCTTTTGTTTTGTTGTGATGCTGACATTTCCTGCGCTCTGAGGCTTCCTCTTCTGACATCCCTAGCATTCCAAGGGCGCTGCAAAGCCTTGCGTTCCTTATCTCTGAACGCTACCCGGTCCTGAGCTGCTCTGACACGAGGTTTTGTTTGCTCCCCTCAATCAGCTCTTGTTTTCCCTACCGGTTTTTGAATTCTACCCGACTTTGACTGTAGTTCTGTACCAGGCAAACAGCCGATCCTCATGATTGATCACTCCGTGTATATTCTCTGCGGTTGCTCTGCTTGAAAGAAGAATTTTCTTGTCTTTTCTTTGCAGGGAAGATCCCAACAAAAGCGATGTGATAGCTGCCGAATGCGCTGCAACATTAGACGAATATTCACCTTTGCCTTCGCTGCATTTGGCGCTACGCTCGTGCTTCTTTCACTTCCTCGTGACAACTTTGGACGTGAGTTCATCACAATCATAGTACCTCTCTAGTAAGTATTCCAAAAAAATCATAATCATACCCGTTGTGAAAACCGTGGCCGCTTTTCTCTCTCCATTCACTATTCAAAATTCAACGCGTAGTGTGGATTAGGTGTGCAAATCATTTGTTCGCTCCTTTCATTGGCTGCGCACAGTCCTCAATTGTGTTTACACAACCTACGTGTGTATAATGCGAAATGCTGCTTTGAGGGTGCATTCTCGAACGAAAATCGCTGCGCAAAAAAGCGTGAGGCCCGTTATGGAGTTGAGAAATAAGAGCGGTACTTGGGAGAACAATGGAACGATGCAGAGAGTTTTAGGAGAGTGGGACGAATCGCCGAAGTCGAGTGAGCTGCAGTCACAGAGGGCTTCCATCAGCAGAGATGCGGCCATTCGGGCTGCTCGAGCCGGACCGCAGATGTCGTTCCAGAAACAGCCAAACCCTCCGAGTCTAATCCACAAAGACACCGCCGACGATCCTTTTGTTGAGTGACTTCTCTTTCTTTTATCTCTTTCTTACGAAGCGACAAAATAGTCTTTTTCGCCATCTGTTTAAGCTCCTAGAAATAGCTCGAATACTACAAATGTGCGCGCAACGATCGTGCAAATCGCAGCGCATTCTTATGAGAGGCACTGAGCAGCGATATTACAGGCATTTATTTGCAGACTTTCCGGCGTACGTCAATCGAATTGTGCTGAACAAACTGCACAATTTCCTGAATGGAAGGGATCTCGTAGCGATGGCTGCGTCAGAATGTCACGAGAATACCACATTAGCAGAGTACTGGATGAAAACGAAGCAGTTCGTCAGCTTTTTTTCGAAAAGAATAATTCACCGAAAGTAGCGGAGAGTAATTTCAGAAAATCCGTTCCGACACGAGATTCTTGGGAAAAATTTTATGCTCAAATTGGGACGTGCAGCGTTTATAACAATGACCAAACTGTAGACGATCTTTTGGCGGATCTGAACAGTGCCACTATCAAAGCTGTCCATATCATGGATGGAGGAACTCAGGTTAGTCGACTATCCAGTGAGCTCTTTGGGCATCCAAGACTAGTTTTGTTTCAGGCAAAACTTGTGTTCACCTTCGACAACGACAAACAAGCAGTTTTCAAGCCTATGAGGTCGGTAAATCATGTTCTTGCATCGCCCAACGAACAGCCTACTAATAGGTTTAGATTACAGCGAAAAAGGATGTTTTTCAGGTTTGGCCGCGATTATGAGTCGGATCCAAATCACTTCTACTTCAGCGACTTCGAGCGCCACAACGCTGAGATAGCTACCTTCCATCTGGACAGGTGCGCGACCTCATAGTAACGAAAGAAATGCATGAATGATCCTAGTTTAGTTCCTTCAAGGGTTCTTGGCTTTCGGCGTGCCGTTCCAACCGTGGGAAGAATCGTGAACATGACGTCTGAACTGTACGAAAAGGCGGAGAAAAAACTGAAGAAGACATTCTTTATATCACCTGGTGAGTGATTTATTGCAGAAAAGCAACTTTGCAATGTGCTGTAATCTCGCCTGATCCATCATGATTGTACAAAATGTGCTGACCCAGCTGGCAGTCATTAGTGAGATGTTGTTCGCACAGCTGTGCATGGAAACAAAAAACGTTCCGAGCTGGAAAACCTTAAATTTGTCCCCAAACGGTTCTGATTTCTCCCGAAAAATCCAGCATGTTCAGCGAAGAACCACTGCTTCGTCTCGCGATGTGACTACTACTGCGACACGACTCACGCCATCTGTGGTCTTCCTGATCTCAAGGAGGGCTCTGTTCAAGTTTTTCTCCCAGACGAATCGGTCGTTCCACGAAGACATAATCGCAGTCCATACAGGAGGTTCGTTCAAATGTTACCTTTTGCGGCGAATTGCATGTAGTCATTCTTAATCAAACTGGAAACGGGAATAGCTTGATTCTATGCCCAGGTTCTCACATTTCATTAGAGTTGCCGACCAAGCATAGCGTTCTAATTTTAGCAGCCCTGCAA